CTTAGTCGTTGAAGCATTCGATCATGGCTATCCGACTCGTCGCGATACGGCTGATCTCTTCATCAATATTCATGACGATAATCCATCTGCTCCTGAATTTGATCAGGTTCACCATTGCAACTAATTGCTATTCGAAACGATTGAGTTCTTCGTATGTTGGACACTAACATTAAGTCATTTTGTTGATAGATCACAGAGAAACAACCAGAATTGTGATGATAGCAATGGTTTCAGTTTCGATACGATGTGACAAAGGTCGCGCCGATTCCAGCCGGTTCGGTTTTGGTGACGTTACACGCTGACGATCCAGATCCAGGTCTTGAAGGACAAATCGTCTACCGATTCGCACCTACGGATGATTCAAGAGCTGCGGATAGACTATCGAAATTCAGCATTAATCCCAAAGTACATGTTTCAGTGTTCATTCCAGAAATGCTCTGATATCTATTGGCTGATCAAAATAGGTCTCTTGACACCTCTACGATAAACTTTCGCGCTAGTCCCTCATTAAAAACTATCAGCTGAGACAATCAACCTGGAATCTTCGATTTGATTTTAGTCATCTTTAGTCGTTTTTGTGAATTGAATGATATAACCAAGCTAAAGCGTCAATATTGCAGTATTTTATAACAATTTGCAGTCACTCGTTAATATGCTCTAAATTCAGCCTTTCCATCCGACAACATTAGGTTCATTCGAATTGCACACTTACTGTTATCGTTTTTTGTTATTTCCCGAATTTTTTATCTCGGCAATTCTTTAATTCATTCTGACTTCAATCCGGTGCTTTCAGACAGGACAACTGTCAACGAAAGTTCGCTTGACATCAGAAGATAGAACACCGCTGCAGTTCATTGTTGAAGCCGTCGATCAATCACCAACATTTCCGAGAAAAACCGAAACCGTCGTTCGAATAAATATTCTCTCGGATAGTGTCGAACAAATCAGTTTTCTTCCACTTCCAAAAAGGGTTTACGTTTCCTCGTCGAAATCGCCCGGAAGTGTAGTTTTGAAGTAAGTTCAGCATGAATTCATGTCAGTTGTTAACTGCATCAGCAAGATGCACTTTTTGTCCACTTCTTGTAGTGTGAACAATCACTCAAAAGTAAAATATCTTTTTGAATGTTTCGGCATGTTTGCTTGATCATCCGTGTAAATTATTCGTATTCTCAGTGGCACGCCTGAATCACGTTCCTCTTACCTCCAGCTGTTCTTATCGTTGATCAGTTGTGTGTATGTGAGCTATTCAATGCCTATTTCGTTTGAAAAACTCATTAGCATTTTGTTAAGAGTATCCGCTACACAAACGATTTCGCCACCGATATTTTCGGCTATCGAAAGCGATTCGCTGGGATATTTCGAGATGATTGGTGATGAATTGCGGGTGAAGAGTAAGTTATCAGATGGTAACGTCAATGTCACATTACGTGTTGATGCTGGTTCTGCATTTGCCGAGCACGTCCTCAATGTGATCATCATTGCCGATCGTGATAAATATCCGGTTTTTCCTAATCTCACGTACGACGTGAAGGTCAGTAATTCTTTCAATTTGACACCTTGAAAGCCTTTCAGCAGTTAAACTTTAATGCTGTTTCACTCAAATGTCAGCTTCATGTTGCTTCACTCAAACGCATCGTCCTTTGCACAGAAATTCATCTGAACTTCATGAATACCTTACAGTCAGAAAAGCAAAACATTTAGAGCTTATCAAACGAGCATTAGGAAAGTGCAGTGATTCCGTATTGCTGATTGAGAGCAACAAAGACTGAAATTGAACTATGTGAATAGCCAAGCTGTTTTAAGTTTATCAGATATTACGAGTACATTTTGAAGGTACCAGTGAATGCAACGTTCCCTCTATTGATTCAACCATTCGAAGCAGCACTTTCTCAAGGAACTGTCGTGTACAGCACATATCCTCC